CGATTAAGGCCTGAAGGAGAGAATTTTCTCTTTTTGCAGGAATGGCACCATACATGGGTCAGGAAATCCCTTGGCCAAGGCAGGGGCCATTGCTTCAGTGCACATGTATGGGGGACAAGAGAATGCCGCTCTCTGTGGTCACCACCACAGGCAGTGATGCTGGAAACATGCTGGGGAGGAAATGGGAGGCCCCTGAGCTCTGGTACCTGCACAGGATCTCGGGTAGGCAGTCCAGAGAAGAGTGGTGCCATGGCACAACCTGGAGTACACTCAGCCACGGTCGCTGCTTTGACTGCTGGGTAGTCCATCCTTCCCAAGACAGCTTTTAAATAGAATGAGAAATGAGAAACTGCCCAAGTACTTGGTTGACTTTTGAGCAGCCCAAGACAAGTGCAGAGCTGCTGCAGTCTGTCTGCACTCCTCAGCAAAGGCTGAGGCATCCTGACCCCTCTATATAGTCTGTTGGCCCCTAGAGCTGAGTGCAGGGCTGGGTTATAGCTCCTCTTGAGGCATTTCCACACTGCTATGATCGACACCCTGCACATCTAAAGCACTGAAGATTGTGACACATACTCCTCATAAAATTCTGGTCTTCATCAATACGCTAGCAAGTCACTTTTAGCACTTTACTGAGTCACCATTGCAATCAACAGATTTTGGCAGGCAACTCATGGGATTTTGAAGTTGTAGCCATCCATTACTAAGAAAAATAGTTGCCTACATTGTTGTTATGAAAGCAAAATGAAAAGATGAGTATCAGAGTGAACCCTGTAATACTGTGCCCTGTAGCTTCACAGGTATCCAGAAAGGCAAACGTATATGATAAGCTGTTTCCAGGACTGTTGTTACTCACATGTGATGGTTTAGAATAATTGGGGTGCTAATAACTCAGTGTCACTTTGGCTCAGATACTGTGAGGAAAATAAAGAGAGGAAATAATATCTGATGATCAAGAATAGGTAAAGTGGAAACAGTAATGTTACTTTCAACAAGCTTAAGCACCAATACTTCTCCATGGATGTTAGCTAGCCTGGTGCAAAAGAAGCAACAAGTGAGGGAAGGAAAGTGACAGACCTCAGATGGATCAGCACACAGAACCTCTTCCGTCTTGGAGTACAAGGACAGAGTTGTCCTTGGAGTGTTTTCAAGGCATTCAATCTCCCAGCATATCCATACATTTATTGAGTACCACTAAACGCCCAGCAAATTTAAAGCTACCAACATACCTTGCCCATTTCATAGCTTAAGCCCAGAGTCAGATCATCTCAACATGCTTTTGCTCTACTGAACAGGCCAACACATAAGCACACCCCACAGGAGGTATCTGCGATGACTGAAAGGAAAACAGTCACCTTGTAGGTGAGGTTGTATGTTAGTGACTTTCACCATGCATGTCACTGCCACAACAAAGACAAAAGTGAGCAAAAGAGGCCATTAAATACTACACAAACCAACCTCCCATCGCCACATCAGCAGAAAAACCACGTTCCCCATCTATTCATCCACAACACCATCAGCTCTGCAAATATAACTGGGAAGATCAATGGCAACAAAACATCAATTTTGTTCTATTTTCTTTATGTGTCTGGTGCTTTTATATCACAGTTCTCATGTAGCAGGGTATATCACATGCACTCTGAATCCAGGCTATGGCACCATGAGTTGAGACTGAGCAATTCTACTGCTGTGGGGGAAAAAGAAGGGTTACAGGTGTCAGTAAAAAAAAAAAAAAAATCTACAGACATCCAAAAGTGCTAAAACACAGACAAGCCACTATGTGAAATGGTGAACGAGCCACTGGAGTCCGAGACACATTTTGTAATGGGCAAAATCTGCCTTGAACTCCTATCTTACATGAGTGAGTAAGCCTCGCACTTCACAATATTGAGGGATGCTATAATTAGTGAGAAATGTATGACACAGTCGTGTCTTGGGTAACACACAAATATATCTCTATCATTGAAACATGAAATAATAAGAGTAACTGATGCTATTAAATTAAAAAAGTAAGTTTATTTTATCAGCATTATAAATATTTTCTTTCCCTCCATTTAACTCCAAAATGTAAAACCAGTACAATGGAACAATTCAGGAGCTCCTCAGTTCTACGGAAAAGGGTCCCTTTTAATAACAAATTAAAATGGAAAATCTCATTTCATCAGTCCAGCAACCCCAGTAGCTGAGCATCCCTAAGTACTTTGTCATTCAAATGGCACAGTTCTAAAAGTGTGTGCGCATATGTGTGAGTGTATATATATGCATACTGATATTTATAAATATACATATATATTGTAACATACATAAATAGACACAGCAACAGAACAGACACTTTTAGTAAATCAAAATATTTTACATGTAATTTAAGTGGGTTCCCAGCTGCACACTGAAATTTGGGCCCTGCACGGTGCAGACACGACACCGTACTAAGCTAGACCCCAAGTGCTCAAGAGATTCAATACATACGTGTCACCTTTAACTGCTGCAGAGTCTGCCTGCTTCTGGTGGCTGTCCAAAACTGAGAATCCCGCGGCACTTGAAAAGTGGTAAGAAATAATCCTGCAGCATCCTGGCCTCGAATTCCTTCCCTCAGTGAACCAACTTCTGATATTCCTGGCTGTGTGAGAGCCATCACCAAAAACAATATACATGCTCCATTATCTACAAATACAATACATCGCCAGTATCTAGTGCATTGTGTGTGCAGCGCTTTGGGACACCTTGAGTATTAAAGGCACTACAAACAGCCAGCTTCTGTCCTATCTTCAGTGCTGGGGTTTATTTTCATCCTACAGTAACTGCCTGCTACTGAGCACACAGCACGGGCAGCTTTCCAGAGGCACAACAGGCTCACTCTGATCAGAGCATCGTACTCCGGCTGCTGGGGAAACATGCAAGCCAGACTCTCTTGTGTGCCCTAAGCTCCTTTGAGCAGTCCGAATGGCACAAAGGAGCTCAGGAAATCTGCCCGTCCTACCAAGCTGCTCCAGAGACAGCCCCTGCTGCGGCCACCCCCCAGGCACAATGGATATCTCACCAAGGAGAGGACTGACCAGTGGGGACAGAGAGGGACCAGAACCAGCTCCCCTGTCATAATTCACACATGCCCTCTGGAAACCATGTGTGATTAGAGCAAACCTTTGCTGCTCCACCTGCTTCATGGGGCTAAAGGGACAGGGAGGCAGTCCGGCCCCAACACAGGACAGATGCCAGCCCCTGGGGTCATTGAAGCTTCCTCCGTTTCTCACTTCAATAAAACAAAGCAAAAAGATAAAACCGATAATAATATGATTCTTATTTTTCACCAAATATATATAAATATTACAGCAATGTCTTTTCTCACAGCTGGGAAATGATGCAAAGCCTACCATGAAACCACAGGATGAAGATCTTCCTTGTGGAAATTTCACATACACCAAAATTATACACCAATCTTTTATTTTAACAGTTGCCAAATTCTGTTCTATTATATACGCATACTGACCTACACCACAAGCCCCTGGACGATTATAAAGGGAAAGAATTTGGCTTTCATATTTTATTTTTTAAACAAGAAAGGTAAAGACAGAAAATAAGACAAAATACATTTCAGTCGCCATTGATCTATAGATTACAAATATATATAGTTTCCTTCCAGAGGAAGAAATACTAAAAGAAGTATTTTGCTCATATCAAATAATCTTTTGAAAGCAGAAAAAAATATATATTTTTCAGCTCCTCCCTCTCCACCACAACAATCACTCGTTAATAATAAAAAAAAAAAAAAGTAAAATAAAATAATCACATTCATTTCATTTCCACAACTTCTACCAAGGAAGAAAAACTTATCTGAATAATGACCTGAGTTATTTTCATGGTTTCCAAACTGCATGTGTAATTCCGATGATCACCATTTACCAGAGACCTACACCTAGCAAGGCACATGAAAACAAACACCAATGGATCTTTGAAAATTAACAACAAAGCAAAATTCAAAAATCTATTGCAAGAATTATGCCAAAAGTGGGCCATAAGCATCTTTGTGGAAGCTGCTCGGACAAGGTGGAAGTGGAAGCTCTGCTATATCTGGCAGCTGGAGCTGTCTGTAGTGATTGAAAACCTGAAGGTGAACATCTTGCGGATGTCTGTGTGTGTGTGTTTTCTTTCTCTTCGTTTGTGGTTATAATCTTTGAGGTAAGACAGAGAACAGACGAGTACAGAAGACACGGCTGGCCTTTACAGTGGCTAAGTAACTTTACGTTTCCAAGACTACAAGGGGTAATGAGGCAAAGAGCTGCCACTTGTCCTCCAGCAGTATAGCCCCTCTGAAACTTTGTTCCCTTGGGAAATCGGGGAGTTTACAGGTTCAGCCAAAGGAGGTTTTCCTATTCCCAATGCAACTGGGGCGGTGCTCATTCGTTTGTTGATGGCAGCAAGCCTAGGTTGACCACTGATGTTCTAGGTCTCCTTCCTACCTCTGGCCATAACATAAAGGGGACTGGGCCTGTAAGTCAATCCATCAGAACCCCCTCCACCTTGCACAGATCTCTCACCAGTGTAAAACCCATCTTTTCAAAAGTAAAAAATCGCTATCAACTTCTAGGCAGGTCTGAAACCTGAGCAGAATTGGGTCGGTCATTATATGTGCAACAGTGACATGAGAAACCCCACTGGTAACTTTCTGCTCTGACATACAACATGGTGTATCCCATAAAATGCCTTTCCATACACATGACAGTCTCATGAAGATACCATAACTGAACACCCAGCAACAATGAGGAGCTTAGGGTTTGTTACTGCTGTAAATCTAACTGTGCCCCACATCCCGGGAAAAAAGGCAATAGGCAGAGTCCTCTCTAAAAGTGAGAAAACTCTTCAGTGATAGATCACTGGGGATGCAGCTTCCAAGACGATGGCAAGGGAGGGAATGCAGCTGCTAAAAATGTTGCTGTTTTCCTAAGGGCATCCAGAGCTCCTCAAATTTTTGCTACTGCCTGACCATTTGTGAACACACAGAGATAAAAGGTACTATTTAACTGATGAGAAGTGAGGGGAACAGGAGAATAAAAGGAATGCAAGAAACTGTAGGGATAGAGGAGGGCCTGGTTGGGTGTTTTAATGTCCCAGTTAGATTGGTTCCCCCACACCCTCTTTTCTCTTTCCTTTTTTTTTTTTTTTTTTTAAATAAATCATACAGATGAACATGGGAGAAGTTCATGCTACTTGCTGGAAGCAATAAAGGTAAATTTCCGTGGCCTATGGATTCCACAGACCTTTGAGTGTCCCACCTCATCCATCATGGGCTAACTTATGGAACCTAACTGTTCCGTGGCAAGACTTAGTAGCCCTTAGAAACTGGTGGCATGTCCTCAGGTGTTTTCCACAAGAGTGAGAGACACGTTGATTCCATCAGCTTCTTCCTCACATGATGCCCGAGTGCCTCAGGTGCAGCCTTGTGATTTCCAAGGATCCTCTTCAAAGTTTTCAGACCTCAGACTGCTGTCTCCAGATCCTCGTGGGAAACCATTTGGTAGTTTTGTCGACTCTCCAGATAGGAGGCCAGATCTGGGTCACCAGCTTGCTGAGCCCTGTCACGAGGGGTCTTACCCTATAATAAAGAAACATGCAGAGAAAGTCTTGTGCTAATATATTTAGAAGAACAGATGAAAACACAACCCAGCATGACAAGAAGGATAGAAACAGATCTGGAGAATTTAATTATTTGTTGTACAAGTTGGTGTTAAGTCAAATTTTTCTATCAGAATTATGAGATTCTGAAGATTTCCCAAGTCCTTGGATGGTTTAGGACAAATCATGGAGTTCTGCAAGGACAGGCTATTTGATACATCTCACAGAAGATCTCATATGCTGGAAGGAACTGATTTTTCATTCTAGGGCTACAATCCCTACGTCAATGAATGTGATGCACGGTACTGTAGCTAATGCATGAAAGTGCACTGAACAGACTAAACACTTTGCTAAGTATGTGCGGAAAGAGATACCCAACATTTGACATGAGTTCAACATGTCTCATCCTATCTCAAGTACAAATAATTTTTCAGTGCACCAATTTGCTCCTCCGTTGTCTGAGCCGCCTACGAGTACTGTTAAATTGGACCACAGGTCTTGATCCTAAACTATGAAAAAATATTGGAAGTGCATAAATGTATTTCCATAAAAACACTCCTTGGACTTCTAGTCAGATGAAGATTAACAAGTCAGAAGCTATTTGTCAGGATTTCAGCTGCTACAGAAATGATCTTTTGGAATGTACAGTATTCTCATCTGAAAATGAGATGATCTTCCTCCCCCTCACAGACTACCCCACATTGCATAACATGGTAGGGATTGATTTTAATTGTCTTGCTGCAGTGAAGGTGCTTCTGACTCTGGAGGCCAGAGATCCAACCACCTTGCAGCTGCTGACCACAGGATGTTTATGTTCAAAAATGCCAGAGGTGAAACTTCTGGACCATGTTCCCAAGCAATCGGATTGTTGTATTGACAGAATATTCCTAGGGTTTCATTTTGCCCAAACTTCTTTCCCTCTCAGCCAAGCATACATTGAGACAGTTGTGGTTAGCGCCACATCAGTGAGCACAGGGGCAAGTGAGGGCAAAAGAAAACGGTTAGCCATCCTCACAAAGCAAGTTAGCCACAGCAGTCAAGCCTCACAGATGCTACGCAATCACAAACCAAGGCTCCCCCAGGTGGCCCTTGCCCACAGGCCTCTCTTTTGGCCGCACAGGGGGAAGATGCCGCTGTGCCATGGAGATGCTTCATTCACACCCAAACCACCGAATAGTTTGAGGCCAGGCTCTCATTATAGCGAAGATGACCCAGCGCTGGGGACTGAACTGGTTTCTTGTAATTGTTTAAATCAATACAGTTTTCTAAATGAAAATAGGTTGTTCAAAAAGAGCTGCTCTTGGCACACACGAGAAAGCCTCAATCATGCACACAGCAGGGACGGATGCTGATCAGTCTCACTTGGCTGCAGTATTTTATAACTGGCTGATGGGGCTGGGTTACCTTGGAGTCCGTCTTTCTCAGAGAGGCTCCCGCATCCACCAGGAGCTGGCAGACGGCACGATGGCGCTGGCAGGCTGCCTTATGTAATGCTGTCTCACCCCTAGACCAAAGTACAGAAACCAGCAGTGAGACACATCACACCAATGCACATTAATGAAGTATGAGGTGTGGAGGACAGATAGAGAAGGATGTTGTATTTCCGCGAGATTCCCTCTTCCTGGCAGAAGTAGACTTGTGCACTCTCTCCCTTAGCATCTACATCCTTTGACTCAGTAGGAAAGCCTGCAACGCACAAATAGCAGATGAAAAACTTCTGAGGGGTGGGAAAAAAATATGCACAGGTTTTATGCATTCCAAGGGCTGAATGTCACATTCCTGTCCAACTACCACTTCTGCTAGCTGTTGCAAAGGCAAACTAGCCACCTCCTTATTTCACAACAGGCAGAACAGCAACAGTGTTTGTTTCTTTCTGCAATTTCTTTCTTCAACCTCATTCTTGGATGCATCTTAAAAAAACCCTGACCGTCAAAGCCATGACTGGTGCACTTGCTGCCCTGGTTCTGGTACTGTGCTCTCTTGGATGTATGAGAGCAAGAGTAATGGTTTTTTTGTGTTCCACCACTGGACTGGTGGCCTACTGGGGAAGCTTGAACACATGCTCTTCAGAAGAGAAGTCTGTGTAGTAGGAGCGGATCTATTACAAAGCTCTTCACTCAGACTGGGGCTACATGTAACAGGATTCTGGGATTGCTTGTAGTACCAAGGTTAAAGAAATCCTGTGCCTAGGAAGAGGAGAAAAGTATGCTTCGAGTGTGTTGAAAACGTGTCCGTAATACTAGTGTACAAGTAGGGTCACTACATAACTTCAAGAATAAGAAATGACAAGAAATATGTGTAGTGGGACAAATCTTGCACCTACGTACCCAGAAAGTGAGCGTGCATAAAGGAATCTCAGCCTCAGTCCATGACAGGACAAGGTGAAATATTAATAGGCAAACTTGTAATGAATCTGCCCCTGCTGCATGAGAACCAGATTCAGAATGGGAAACTATCTAATTTCTCCCTGAGGATCAAAAGACAAATTCATGCTGCCAGTTACAGTTTGAACCTTCCCTTTTCAAGGATTAGTCGTAGAGGGACCTTTGTAAAGGGAAGCCCTCATAGCCATGTGCACTTTATTTCAGTGGCTGTGCTATGCTACTGAATTAAGAGAAACAGGCAGTCCATCCAGACTCCATCATCCCTGGGCTGCCCACATTCCTCTTTTGCAGAACCTTTCTGGCGTTCTCTGTTAGCAGAGGAGGGCACTGTGGGATGAGGAATGGTAGGTTTAATCCCTATGAGAAAGGCACTTTTACTTCCCATATATTTCCCAGGATTAGTCACATATTAATCCCTTATATATTCTGACACCTTTTATTACATAAAGGGAGATAGGGAAGTTGGTAATTGGAAAGTAAAGTGTTGGGGTTTTTTGTTTGTTTGGTTGGGTTTTTTTTTTAAATAAGAACAGAGGTGATCAAGGCTCTAACTACTTGAGATAAATCTTCGACTGCACAGGTTGCAGCCGCTTTGGACAGCTAAGGCAGGGCACTTTGGATCAATCAAGAAATGACTGAAGAAAAGGTATAGAGCAAGAAAAGTAGTTTCCTGATTTCTGGAATATGCCCTCAGGTCACTTCCTCAGTAACTGGATTCTGGAAACATCAAAGCATAATGCAGGACTTGTATTCCTCTATAAAGATTAAGGAGGTGTGGGAAGCAATAGAAAGGAAGTCCTCTTCGGAGTTCAAGAAACATTTGGTTTAGGCCAGAAAGCCTTATATCAGGTGGTTGCTATCTGGGTTTAGGGGGACTTTTGCTTAGGTTAGATGTACTAATTTACAAGCGTCGTTATTTCAAAGTTTGCACTTGAAAAACAAGAAGCCTGCTAGGGTAATGCACATAATGTGAAGGGCAGAGTAGATTGTACTTACGTTTCACTGTCTGTCATGTCCAGTAATTCAGATGGACCTGCAAAAGACAGTCAGGTTTGTCATTAAGCAGTTGTCTGCATGACTAATGGAGTACAGCTACCAGGAGAAGATTCCTAGAGGAAATCATAGAATCACAGAATTGTTTAGGTAGCAAAAGACATGTAAGATCACATAGACATAACACTGCCAAATTCACCACTAAACCATGTCCCTAAGTGACACGTCTTCATCTCTTTTAAATACTTCTGGGGATGGTGACTTGACCACCTCCCTGGGGCAGCCCCTTCCAATGCTTCACAACCCTTTCAGTGAAGAATTTCTTCCCAATATCCAATCTAAACCTCCCCTGCTACAACTTGAGTCCATTTCCTCTTGTCCTGTCGCTTGTGAGCACTTCAGCCAGCTCCCTCAGTACCCTTCGGTGCATCCCATCCAGCCACAGAGATTTGTGTGTGTCTAAGTGGTGCATCAGGCTGCTAATTATTTAGCCTTGGATTATGGGGACTTTGTTCTGCTCCCCATCACTGTCTTTCAGCTCAGGGTGCTGGGTACTCAGATAACAACTGAATTTGTTATTAAAGTCTGAGGCAAAGAAGGCATTAGATATCTCAGTCTTTTCCTCATTCTTAGTCACTCTGTTTCCCCCCACATCCAATAAAGGATGGAGATTCTCCTGAGCCCCCCTTTTGTTGTTAATGTATTTATAGAAACATTTCTTATTGTCTTTTATGGCAGAGGCCAGATTAAACTCTGGTTGAGCTTCGGCCCTTCTAATTTTCTCCTTATACAACCTCATGACATCCTTCTAGTCCTCATGAGCTGCCTGCCCCTATTTCCAAAGGTCATAAACTCTCCTTTATTTCCCAAGTTCCAGCCAAAGCTCTCTGTTCAGCCAGGCTGGTCATCTTCCCCGCTGGCTCGTGTTTCAGCATACTGGGACAGCCTGCTCCTGGGCCTTTAAGATCTCCTTCTTGAAGAATGTCCAGCCTTCCTGGACTCCTTTGCCCTTTAGGACTGCATCCCTAGGGACTCTGTCAACCAAGCTCCTAACAGGCCACAGTCAGTGCTCCAAGTCCACGGTAGTCTTTATTCCTCCAAGAATTGAAAACCTTATTATTTTATGATCACTATGTCCAAGACAACCTCCAACCATCATATCACCCACAAGTCCATCTCTGTTTGCAAACAGCAGGTCCAGCAGGGACCATCCCTACTTGTCTCCCTCACCAGCTGTGACAGGATGTTGTATCTTACACACAATCCAGGAACCTCCTAGACTGTCTCCTCTCTGCTATATTATAAATATGAAAATAAGCCAACTGAAAGATCAATATGCACTAATATGCAAAACTTGAGTAATAATTGCTTGTGCAAGCCCCTGCACTAGCAAAATTCTGAATGCACAGTCACTGCTGGAGTGTCAGCACCAGGGACTAGCTGCTTCTAAATTATACTGGGAATGAATATTCATGGAGTTTATTTTCTCACTCTTCACCTTGCTCAATTAAGTGGTTCACATAAGTGCAACGCATTGAAAATGCTGATATACTGGAAACCCTGATATATTGCAAGTTAAAATCTATTGTTAGTACTAGAGGGAAAATGTCATTAGGAAGTTGAAATTAGCCAAATTCCGTTCTGAATGACATCCCTGTGCTACTCCATTTAATAGTGTTATACAGAATGTAGATCAGGGTGGAATATTCCCAGCAGTCTTTATATTGATATGCAAATCCTGTACTCTACTGGTTAGCAATGATCAGGAAAGTAAGATTAAGAAAAACAGAAAAGATTTTTGTTAAGCGGGACAAAATAATGCATTTATGCTAATGCACATTTGTCCTTGATATTCACCCCAAGCAGATGTTTATAGAAGCAAATTCCATCACTGAATTACAGTGATATGGAAGGGCTAGGATCTGGATAGCATTTGAAACAAGAAAAACTTTTCCCTTTGCAGCCTGGCTTATTATTCTTCTCTCCACTGCTCTGGAGCGTAGTGCCAGATGGTATGGGGCAGTTAGCAAGGGGAACAGTGAAACTTTACAGGAATTTTCCTTCCTGTGCATGACTATTTCTCTTCAGCACACTTTGACTTTGAAATTCAAGAGTCCTCAAGAGCTTACAGCAAATCTCACCTGAAACTGAGGAATTTCACACTACTTGCTTACAAAGGCCTACACACAACCTCTCTACACTCCTCCTTCTCTGAGTGTGTGTCAAAGTGGATCACAGCAGCCCATCTCTCCCTCACTGTTTTACAACATACACATGCAGTATCATCGAGGGACAGCTGGCTGCTTTGTCCCCTGTAGCTGCAGGTAGCTCCTTCACTTCATCTTTTGTCCTCATGAGAAAGGGGTGATCAAAAGAGTAGCATGCTCAGTCCCCAGTGCACAGGTCATTGCATACCTACCATGGCAGTTCCACAAATTCATCAGCCACAGTCAATTTCTAATGCACAGCACCCTGACCGTACTGCCATGTGTCCTCATCTCTGCACTTAGCAGTTAAGTGTTCACTCCTCCCTATCAGTAAGAAGAATCACTCATGACCCCTGAGCTCCCATAAGCATGAAGAAGGATACAGGGGACTAAGCAGGGCCCCTTGTTGAGAGGAAAGACAATGCATGGGAAACTAAAAAGAAAACAAACAAGAACCCAAACCAAACAAACAAACAAATTACAAACAAACAACAACACACAAAAACCCCACACCAACACACAACAGATGAAGAAAAAGAATCCTTTACATCTTCCAGAAGAAAATCTTGTTCTCTCAAAAATAGAAGCAGTTCCCCATGGCTTGCTGCAATGCCACATCCCAGTGATAGGTAACCCGGATTGGCCTGCAGTGTGTTAGCAAAGACAGTGCCAAGTAAACTATTATTTCTGTTCATGGATGGGAAAATGATGGTTGTGATGCAGAGGCGGAACAGGGTGACTGAGCTGGCTGCACTGGGCATAGAGATACTTGCCCTGGTAGACAGAAAAAAGATGTTAAAACATTAGGAGGCAGGACGGACAGAAGTTGGAAGAATATGACCTGAGGGGGAGAAAGAGCTGGCACAGAGTGGGTGTGGAGAGACGGGAAGCCAAGGATGAAGGAAAACTATTCTGGAGCAGGAAGAAACAGCAAGGTGAGGACAAAGGAGCTGAGTGCTGAGGAATGCAGCCCGCAAGTACAGACCTGAGAAGGTGCTAGGTACATTCTGCCTGTGCGTGAAGGGTGCTCTCCTGGATACTGTGCCAAATACAGCATTTCATGGGAGTGCCCCGAATCCATCCCAGTCAATACAGAAAGGCCAGATAGTGGGGTTAATTGATCAGCAGCTCAACGTGGTACCAGGATTCATTTGTTTCATTCTTTCTGGCCTATCTCTGAAGCTGGAATGTCCCAACTCACACACATCCTGAGCTGTGCCCTTTACATCTTTGCTCTATTTTCACTTGTGCTTCTCTTAAACCATCTCATGCCCTCCTCCTAATTCCCTTCCCCTCTTTTTTGGACCTCATTTTTACATCAGTCTCCCTGGCGCTGCCAACCGACCATTCCAAATCCCCCTCTGCCCCGGGACAAAAGCTGCACAGATGTGGGAAGGGCTGGCACTGGGAAAGCTAATGGCACTGTCATCCTGACCCAGCAGGGAGGCGGCTGTTTTACTCTGGGACAAGAGGCAGAGAAAGAAAAGGGGACCAAGGAGCAGAGAGAGAGAGGACAAAATAACCCAATAGAAATCCGGAAGGGAAATGCATGAGTGAGATTTCTATCAAGGAAAACAGCAGGGGGGGAAATAAAAACAAAAGATAGAAATGTGTGGAGAGGGGAAGGGAGGGAAAAAAAAAAAAAAGAAAAGAGAAAGAAAGAAAGAGCACAACTCAGGGGCTAAAGAATGGCAGGATGGGGAGGGAGAAGTTCGCATGAAAGGAGCTGAAAAGCCTGACGCACTGAGGGGAAGCCCAGCTGAGATCACTTTCTCTCCTTAACATCTCTGATAGACTGTCTGTGTAGAATTATTAACTTTTTTCCTTCCCTCCTTCTGCCCCCTTTCACTCCACCAAAGCCCCTCTCCAGTTTCTCAGGAGGCAAAGCAGCCTGAGCTGGGAACAGGAGGAGGGAAGAGAAGAGGATGCTCAAAAGCAGCTGCCCTTTAACTGAGATCACTGCAACATAAAAGAGAGACTAAATGACCATATTTCAGAGGCATTTCCAAAATACACAGCACCATGCAGTCCCAAAGGCCTCCAGCCTGCAGCACACCCTGCCCTCTCCAATGTATGTGGTTACAGCTACCCACAGGAGACCCATAGCTATTAACCCCTGCCAGTCCCTTGTCCTGTCGGTCCTTCATAGAACTGGGGAAGAAAGGCATTTACTTTAAGCAGTAATGTTAGACATTACCAGCATTTCTGGGTGTTTCTCTGTCAAAACTCTCTTTGTTTAATAACTTGATTGAGGGTGTTATCTCGGGGAGAAAACTGGATTTGGTTCCTTACCTTCAAAAGAGGGAATATCTTTAAAATAATAGTAATCTGCAGAGTCAGAACTATCGTAAGCCTTCCCAAACTCCACACGCTTCATTTTTACCCATTGTGAAGATTAACAGTGTCTGGTTTTTACTGCTCAGTCTTTTAGCTCAGAATTTCTACTGTAACATAGAGAGTAGTCAGGTTGTGGGAGCATGCCTTCCATCATAACTGTCTCTCAGCTATCTTAACCTAATATTTGGAAAAGTTAAAAATTAAAATACACTTTTTTATACCTAGTGCCCTGTAGGAAAACTAAGCTCTTTTCTGCTTAGGCCCCTCACAAATGTCCACTACCCTAAAACATTGTGCAAATCTAAACATACCAGGAAATGCCAGGCAAACTCACTCTCCTCCAGTGTAGCTTTCTGATGATGATTCAAACTTTGTCCCTGACATACATCTTTGTCACACCAAAATTTGCTTTCCAAAAGCCTTTTCTGGAACTCCTCAGTCTGGTCAGGATGAAAATCCAAACTCACGGGTGGCTCTTCACCGTGACTTTGTAGTGCTAAGGGTAACAAACGCATCATCTTTCTCACCAGAAGTTGCTATCTAATGGAGCAAGGACATTGCAGTTTGAGGTTACAGAAGTGTTCAGGATGGGATGCTCTACAAAGTGACTGTTCCATCAGAAGTTCCCATCACAAACTCCTAAGGCAACTACGAACATCTTTCATGTTTAAAATTTAAAGACCCTAGATGAATGATGGAATTTTTGCTTGTCTTTTGAGCCTCTACAGAAGAAGAGAAGACAGGGAGAAGGCCAATCTTGGAATGTCTTGGAATGTATAACGGTTATAAATTATAAATAATTTAGAAATGCCAGATAAAGACTCCAAGCCAAGTTTGATTCCAAATACAGATGATGGTTTAGGAGGTCCTTTTTCTAACAGAGCTTCTTAAGCCTTCCCTAATTCTGTTTGTGTTAAGCAAGTAAACAGTTAACTCTAATGTGTATGCATTTGGATCTGAGACAGTTGCTGACTGCAGCAATAAGCAGATGTGGTTCTGATACCTCCTGAGTTTGGCCCTCAGTTTTGACCTAAGTGTTCCTGAGCACAGCTACAGACAGATCTTAAAAGGTGATCTTCCTACTACAAGCAAAAGACCCCTGATTTAAAAAGGCAGTCTTGAAGAGCAGATAGGTCTGTGTATCTGCCCTTCCTGCACAGGGGATAGAGAGAAACTGTTTTGCAGGAACAGCAGCCAACACAACTCTTTCTGCAGCAGTAAGCAGCTGTCATCCTGACACCTACTACATCGGTGCTTCAGCTGCTATTCCAGGCTTGCACTAGTCCACTGCTAAGTATCTGGCAATACTGCACAGCAGTCTCCTTGTGTGACTCATTTCTGCTTTTTCTAATTTAAGAAGGGTTATTTTCCTTCCTTTAACATCTGAAAGCATTCTGATCAAGATCACAGAATAACCTCTCCTATTAATGCACACGGCATGTTTGCAGAAAACAAAGCCATCTCTACAGAGGACAGCCTCAGCATCACTACACTATTTTCCCTCCTTCACGATCCCAGTGCTTTGGGCTCCACTTCTGTATCGCATTTGATTCACTCCACTACTTTCACACTAGGCAGTTTAAATTCCTGGTACGGTGGGGGTTTTTTGGTCTTGTTTTGTTGTGGTTGTTTTTTAAAGATATTCAGAAAATTTTCCCTTTGTGATTAATAATAGGTTTTCCGTGCTGTGTGCTGGAGGGTATTTTACAGTGGAACTCCTATTAATATTAACAATCTCCAGACATGTATAGGAAGTAGACAAACTACATAGGAACTGTGGCTGGGCAGAAGTAATTGCCAGAACAGGAGTAGGACACCTTTTTATCAAGGGTGGATATCAGGAGAAATGAGAAGCTAGATACAGGGACAGACTCAGATATTAGTAGCGTTGCATTAGGTCTTATACACTAATTAATGTTGAGAACATGCCAGATGTCAGAGAACGCAACAGAAAACAAGGACATTATGATGATGATGATTATTCAGCAAGAGAGCTCGTTTGTGACTGAGAAATGCCCAGGGTAGAAATGAGTTTCATTAATTGCTTGGTGGGAGAAGAGAGGAGGCCCCTATTAGGGCATTGTCCCATGCACTGTCTGATCCCAGGAGAATGTTAAATAAACAATGCATTTGGAGAAGCCCAGAGGACATATGTCTGGAAAGCTGTAAAAGCTTCCTGCCATCCTTAGGGATAAAGAAGGGGAAGAGGAACTGGGCTGACATTTGCTCAACCTTCTGGTTTGTCTTTGTCTAACAGTCCGTAATCCCCCACATTTCTCTATTCACTTCAAAAATTCCCATGAATTCCCTGCTCACACCCTTACCAGCTTAAACAATCTCATTTTTAACCTTCACCAAAGGGACGGTAACTGGGTCAGACTGTGAGTAAGTTAAGGTATAAGTGCCTAAGAAAAATGCTGGATAGGCAGCCATAACAGTGAATTGGCACAAGTCATATGCATTGTGAGAAGAGACCAGAGTCAGTAGGAAAATTAAGTGAAATTGTGCTCATCTACAGATTTTGAGGCACGTATATGCAATGTTACTAAAGAGGTAATCCAGAGAATTTGCATAGGAGTTTGGATTAGCACTCTTAAGACTTATTACAACTGGGCAGAAAACTAGCCAATATTTGGATATAAGGCCAACTACACTTAGTTACCCATGTGTAGGTATCTATACATGAAAGAGCAAAGTGACATATCAGGCCCCCTTGGTCAGATATCTGGGGCACAGTTCAGTTGCCCACACACGGATACTTCGTGCCATTCGATACGCCTACAGGCAGTTCTTGGGATGCATTTGGAAATGACAGGGATGCTTTCTTGGGGTCCAGCTGCCAGTCCAGCATGGGTCTCCTACAGGCCTTGTATGTCATCTTGCAAACCCATGAAGATGTCCTGGATATCCAAGGGCAACTGGCATTAGATAGTTATGTTAGGTAAATGAATGAAGCACACAGGTAATGTCAGCTGAATCACTTGCTGGGCTACTGTGACTACTTTGACTAGGGTCTCCCCTGAGCTAGTCATGCTAGAAGTCTGCTGCTACCGAAGTAGCCCTCCTCACTTCCATCTGCCACTGAAAGATGACAGGTTTCCTCTAGTACCTCTGTCATACATAAGCAAATGAACTGAGCCATTGGTCTCTGTTGACAGTAGACCAATGAACTTAGAACTTCTTGAACTTAGACCCAGAGATTGCCTGACTCCTATATGTAAACATATAAATTCAGGAGTCCAGCTCGAGCTAAATCCCACCCCAATTAACACTAATGTTCCAAGATGCGTTATTGCTTCTGCCTTTCCCATGAGTTGAGCTTTTTTCTTCCTGTACAATTTCTGCACTAACTTGCAAGCATTAGCTAACCCTTACTAAAATTGTCAGAGGCAGTCCGTGTTTAATGCTAACACTGCTGCTGAAATAATATAGCTGATTTTGACATCCAGAAGTCAAAATAGCCACTGATATTTTGAAGAGAGATCAGAGAAGAGTTACAAGAATGTTTAAAGGACTAGAAAGTATTTCCTATAGTGCAGGAGGCTGATGACTGGGACTTCAGCTCTGCATGCAGAGAGATATTACTGTGCTACTCTACAGCAGCCAGTGAACAAGATTACAGTTAGTTCAACAGGCAGAAACTCCTAAATGTGACTTCCTCAAATGTTTGTACACAAATTGTTGCATAGCCTGTGTAAGCATGTCTGCAATCCTTTTACTGTCAAAGATAAAGACAGTTGAAAGAAAAAGCAAAGCCCATAAATAAAAATATAAGATGGCGATCACGATTTTTTGTTACTGTGTGGTCTTGAATCTAACAGAGACATAATATTGGAAAGTTGGAAGGGAAGCTAGGTGAATCCAATCTAGAAATAAATGCACAGATTCCTAACCAGGGTGCTACTAAACATTGAAGTAATACCAATGGTTGGATGGGCTCTCCATCATTAAGTGTTTTAATGGAGATTAGATGCTTTCTGCAACATATGCTGTAATTGAAAAACAAATTAGTTCAGAGGGCTGCTATGCCAGAGGTTCCAACTAGAGCATCACACTGGTTCTTCACAGCCCCACAACTGATGAAACTGGGAAACACCCATCTTCCTCAGAAGCCATCTTTCCACACTTTCCCTTTATCTGGAACCATCAGTGTCATTGCCAACAAATTCCTAGCCTCCCGCTCACACATGCTGCAGGTGGAACTTTTTGCTGAGGGTGACCACAGATGAGTGAGGGCACTTCCAGCTGCATGGTGTGGTTTGACCTGACCAACATTTGGCTGAAGTACAGACCTTTGTGGATTTGCCCACTGTGACTCACCATGCTCCAGGATGTATTTCACTATCTCGCCATGCCCGGTCTTGGCAGCATGATGCAATAAGGAGCAGTGATCAGGTCCTTGGATTAACAAATTGGCTCCCTTTTTACAGCATTCTATGAACTGGAAAAAAACACACAGAAGAAGGATAAGACAGGAGGAGCAGAAAAACAAATATGCAGGCAAATTGTTTACTGATTTTCATAGGATGTTAGTACAAAAAGGTAATAGAATGAAATAAAATATTACTTTAAAGCCAGCTTTTAGTCCCCAGTGAAAAAATTTCTGAAACTAGAAGTACTGACAATTATATGGGTTAAGAAGAGCAGTTCATATTTTCTAAACAATGAGACTTTACTGGCGATGAATTATTGCTTGCTAGCAAAGCTTGCAAACCACTTCTGGTGAAGCTGTTGGGATATTTTAAAATACATGTACTTGATAGAAAAATCTGGCTTCTCTACTGAAAATTCCAATTTTTCCTCACCCCAGGAGACAAACAGTTTCTGACTAAACCAGAAAAATCTGACTCAAAATTTCACAGGGAGGTGTTATTCCACTGTCCCAGATCAGCCTTCTTACACTCTTCCCCTACCCGGGGCTGGCAAAGGGGAAGCACTATGGGGGGTAAGAACAGGCAGGAAACAGCAACCAGTCAGGTCTCAGAAATCCTGCAAATCTGGGGGTTGGGGGGTGGGAAGGCGTGTGAAGCGGAGGTTGCAGTGCAGATCACTGCAGAAAAGAGGGAGAGGATTGTGACAGCAGGGCATCATTTATGATGCAGCACATCTAAAGAAGGGCAAGAAGTTTCACTGTCAAAACAAACACAGGCACAATCTTTTCAAGAAACACAAAGGAGACAATATTGGTGGAATGCTGGTTTAGTCTAAGGACTGCTCCCTAGATGCTGCAGCCACAAACACAGGGGTGGAGGTATGGAAGGTACACCTGCAGGCAAAGAGTTGGCCTAACAGTGCTGTCATTTTTACAAATAGCTTCAAGCTGGCTTTTCACAGGTAAAATTGCAATCATTAATCACAGTCCTTACCCAAATTCGAGGGCATGTTTTCAAATCCTGACTTGGCTACTGAAAGAGACAGCCTAAATAACTGTCAGACATAGAACTTCAAACTTCGGGCAAAAAAGATTTTTGCATGGGTGCCTTTTATTCCCAGTAACTCACAATATCAAGATACTACATCTTTTGAGACATCCATCAGATAAGACACCAAGCTGGTCTGGTAGTTGCCTAGGTAGAAGTTAAGTCTCTAGCAACTCTAGTGGGTTACCCACCAACCTCACTGCTGTAAAGTATCCTTTACTGTGTAAGGCAGTGTCAGAACTACTCTGCTGTTCAGCATTGCATTTGCTGGTATAATAATTTCCCTGTTAGTAACTGACGCAGTGCTCTTCACAGTTTGCTATGAAACCTAGGTTGAAAGGTGCTAACACCAGATCCTATTCACTCGAATTTCACACCTCACCTGACTGAGGTGTTCCCCTAATACTCAGGGTTTCCTGGAAAGGCTGTAAAAAGACATTTGCCAGCAGCCCCTACAGCAGTCTACTTACGTTTTGAGCAGAGGTGTGATATAATTTACAGTATATCAGACCTGCAAAAAGCTGTGAAAAAGTGGACAGTCAGTGCTCTGTACTCACCTTCAGCAGATCACCAGCTATGACTGCCTGTAAAAGTGCTGCAGGAGACAAACACAAAACTAATGTTAGGCAGAAAGCATTATGCATAGAGCCTCGCAGCCAAGAACATAGCTCACAGTATGTGCAGGTGAAGACTGATGCTTCAGTCTACTTGCATTCCGATGTACTACCAAAACAGATGTGAACCCCGCACCAGCAGGCATAAGACAAGCTGCCCATGTTGCATGAAAGCTGAATCAACATCCAGCCAGCATTTTCACTGTTGCCCTGGAACTACTTGCTTCTGTCAGAATTTTGGCCTTGAGACACTTCACGGACCTTCGAACAATGTCCACAGGGTGGGCCCAACTCCCTGGCACCTGAGCCGTGACTGAAGATGTCAAGGTCAAACACAGAGAACCTGAAAGTAGCCTCAGGCCTCTCAGACTTTTTCATATTGATGGTAGAGTGGTCAGTCAGTCTCAAATACAGGGAGAACCCCAAGATTAGGGGCCAACTTTGACATGCCAGTGGACAGCAAGTCCCCTCGATTTGGCAGGCAGGATCAAACACAGAGCAGGAACCAGTTCCCATCTTTTTAGCCTTTGTAACTTAGGCACAGAAGGAAAGAGAGGCAAAGAGAGGCAAAGTGACCAAAGACTCGCAGCAAGGCAGGACAGATCTGTGCAGAGAGTCAGACCTACTCACTACATGCTATTCTTTGTCCCACATCTGTTAAAAAGAAGAGAGAAGGCAAAAGTCTGGGACTCTGTATTGCCCTATATATCGGCTGCTGCATTCAGCTAAACACGTCATGGTGGCAAATAGCAACAAACATGAGAACTTGTTACAAATATACAGCTATACAACTATTTCCTCCATTTTTCCTCCTTCTCCCTATCATGACATATATAGTAATGACTAATCTTTCTGGGAAAGCACTTACTTGGTTTGTATCTTAGAAAGCATTAACATCTGCCTCAGTTCATACTTTTTCAAGAGTGCCTAAGCCCATTTGTATCTTCGAGTCTAGGCAGCGCAATCAAGTTAAGCATTTGCTCAAGTGCCATCCTTGATAAAGATGCCAAAAGCTCATGTAGGGAGGAAACAAGGGAGAAAGACAACCATAGCCTTGCCTCTGAAAAATAACACATGGGAAACTGCACAGTGTGAATTCCATAAGGAGCTTGTTATGGCTTCAGAAATGACAACATATCCAGGCTAAACACTGCGAAAAAGGAAAGGTGTGCAAAGACAACTCAACAAATGCCCCCTTCTTTGAAAATACATGGGGCTATGCATGGCTTTCTGGTCTCAGCAATACCTCATGCCTTGGCCACACAGCAGCGGGAAAAGCAAAAACCCAGTCCAGCTAAGTTTTAACTTGGGAAAGCAGTAGCTGCAGTTCTCGTAACATTGGATTTAGGGCAGTTCTAACTCAAATGACCGTAAGTTAAACTAAGTCCTACCAATCCCCAGGCATCTATGGGCATGAGGGCCCACAGATATGAGAAATACAAAAAGACAAACACCAGCAGGTAAGAGCTAGAACTGGGGGAAAGAAAAAAGTACGTGTTCTTCAGATTTCATTTTCAGTGGTTTATGTTTTTTTTTTTTTCCCCCAATAGTTCTAATACTGGCTCATACCAAATTAATAGCATAGCAGAATTTAGCCCTTGTATCATTCACTTTATCTTTTTCCTCCTTTTTGGCTGATCTGATCTCACTGCTATATTTATTCTGTGGGCTGCTTCAGTCTGGACTTGCATACATATTTTGCTCTCCTCACACATCTGAAAATCAAAGCAACTGGTGGCACCAGCTTTTCAGTGCCTGCTACATCCAGTATTTTAAGACATTACTTACTTCTTAAGAGGCAGAGAAACATTTTCTTATGCAAACCATGACTAAGATTATAGTTCAGAGAAGCCAGGAGAGAGATCTAGAAAACTATGAAGTGAAAAGTCTGGTAAGTCATACGAAATCTTCTGTGTTGAGTATATCTAACCAGAGGTTGGTCGGGTGATAAGGCTATTAGGATAAAGCAGCTCTAAAACACATTCAACATAATTAGACCAATCTTTTCCTCTCTGCTAAGCCTTCAATCCAGCAAAGCATTTAGGCAGGTGTTTATCTTTGAGCTAATCACATTCTTTTCACCAAGTCTACCTGCACGCTTAAAAGTAAGTGCTTTGCTAGAGTAGACCCTATTGCATAAATGAATACATTATAGATCACTAAAACCAGCTGGCATAACAAGCAGATTAGACTACAGTAAAATAATTCAGTGCTATAAGCCAGGATGCTGGAAGACTTACAAGCTATTGAACTAGAAATGGAGAAAGGTTCTTAAAAATAGCTAACACATTTACATAAACATACAAATGTTGCTTAGCACACTAACCCGATAAACCCAAAAGGGACTGCTGGGCATATTGAAGAGAAAGGTGAAGATGTCAAAAATCACCTGCTTGTTAAAGAGGTGGTAAAACAAGTAAGCAGATGGCAATGACGAGAGAGAGCTGACTGAGAAATTGGACAAAAATATTGTTAACATGCAATGCCAGGCTAGCTTAAAATTAAAAACATTTAAGTGAGAATGGTTTTATTTCTTCTGAGCAACACTGCACCACTGGTGTAATATATAACATGAATTATGCAATTGTTTTATCATATCATAAAATACCTTCAGGTCTTAAAGATGCTTCAAAAATTACTTCATTTAATAAATATTTAAATCAAGTCATTATTTTCTCAACTTCTCCTAAGACAAGCATTTGTCATGACTAATAAAAATGTTTTATTACCTTTTTCATTTATTTAGCAAGCAGATTTATCCCTGATGAAAGGTGACAGCTTGACAAGACTGGAGACTGAAGTGCTCTGTCCATATAATGAGGAAGCACTCAGTCTGCTGCGGTAGTAGACTCCCCAGGTTGCCTTCTCAGCAAAGCTCATCCCTCTCTAGCACTACACTCCTGCGGGCAGCCCCTGCTCCATTCCCGCACCATCACTGACCTCTCCACCGAAATTGCCAGCAAATGTGTCAATCACTGCCCAGGGTGATGGATCCTGACAGAAACAATTACCTGCTAGGATACGGAGAGCCAGAATTTCAGACTGTGTATGTAACGGCTGCTAGAGACTAGCAACTTTTAATCTCCACTGGGTGAATTTTGAAATGAGGTTCTAACCATCCTTGTGGGCCAACTTATAAAAGAAGCCTCATTAAAAGAAAACAGAAAAAACAAAACAAAAACACCCACACCAAAACCTACAAACAATCAAAAGCCCCAAACCACACACATACACACTTGACTTACAAATTAAATATTGACCAGCTACAAGTGGATAATATACCAGCAGGAAAAAAAGCCATCTTAAAAAGGCTGCTAACTGAGTTCTGGTAATGCTGCAAGCTAGTGCAACTTGAGACACAGGAAAAACACCCACTAGTACATCCACATGTACTTGGAAAAAAGCTATTTTTATTTCATGTTCTAAAAAATGTATGTTCGTGTCACTGAGTTGCAATAAACGTTTTTGTTTCCCAGCTATAAAATTAACCTACTAAATCACAATTGTTTTCTGTTTCTGCATGTGAAATCAGCAGCATTAAAACATAGTGCTGCAAACCAGTCATTAAACACTGGGAAACTGATAACGAAGGTAACAAAGGAGTAAGATATTTGTATTCAGTAACTTCATAGAGCCTGCAAGATGCCTAGGAGGTCTCACAGTGTTGCCTGGATGGTCAGAAAAGAAAATAAGCCTCCACAGAAAGCAACTGAGAATCCCTGCAATAGTTCCTGTTGTGCATCTCTCCTTCCATGGACCACAGAAGTTCAAGAGAAAATTATCTCTAACTCTCTAAATTAAGAGCAAAACTAAGAAAAGGAGGGAATACTTCAGAATGGCATGATGCCAGGAGACATACCTGATCACCTGAAAGGAGGACAACCAAACAAGGGCAAAATGGAGAGTGGGGGGCTCCTTTTATGGGTTTCCAAGGTGTGATAATCCCGGGACCAGAAAATGCTCATAGTCTCAGAAATTGAGAGCTCTTTATATAACATACAGGTACAGCATGAGAACACCTCATGTAATGTAAAGGCTGATAAAGACTGACCCACAACTGCAACACACCAAAGGAAAACAGCAGGAGAGGGGCAGAAGACATTGCCACCATCTTGCTTCCTTCAAAAGCAAGGGAAATTCTCAGAAGCATTGTGAGAAAGGAAAACCTTAAGCAACAGCTACCCCTTCTTGTCTGCCCTGAAGGAAAATTCCCTCTTGATCCCAAAGATGCTGATCAGATTAATGCCAGGGACACAAGCAGGGCTCAGGACCAGGCTACTATCATGCCAGAGTTTTGCTATTAAAACACTTTCAGAAAGAACACAAAAAAAAAAAAAATCTTATAAACTCTTGTAGGTAACATCTCAGGATCACAAGGCTCCTTGTGACCAGCAATGAGTTGGTGACATGGAAAGTGGGATCAAGCGCACCCTCAGCAAGTTTGCTGATGACACCAAGCTGTGTGGCGCAGTTGACACTCTGGAGGGAAGCAATGCCATCCAGAAGGACCTGGACAGGCTGGAGTGGTGGGCCACTGCCAACCTCATGGAGTTCAACAAGGCCAAGTGCAAGGTCCTACACCTGGGTTCAGAGAAGCACAAGTACAGGCTGGGTGGAGAATGGATCAGGAGCAGTCCTGAAGAGAAGGATTTGGGGGTGATGGTTGAGGAGAAGCTCAACATGAGCCAGCAGCTAGAAATGCAACCGTATCCTGGACTGTATCAGGAGAAGCATGTCCAGCAGGTTGAGGGAGGGGATTCTCCCCCTCTACTCTGCTCTTGTGAGACCCCACTTGAGTAGTCTGTTCAGCTCTGGGGCCTCCAACATAAGAAGGACATGGACCTGTTGGAGCAAGTCCAGAGGAGGACCACAAAGATGCTCCAGGGATTGGAGCCCCTCTGCTGTGGGGACAGGCTGAGAGAGTTGGGCTTGTTCAGCCTGGAGAAGAGAAGGCTCCAGGGAGACCTTATAGCACCTTCCA